ATTCCAACATTTCAATTTTGCTTTTACAATAATCATGGGGAAAAAAAAACAATTAGCTGTTTGGTGGAACCAGCAAGAAACACCTTTGGGAAATTTGGCTAACATTTATGTATTATATTTCTCCTATATGAACATATGTTTAAAAAAATAATCCAAAGTGAATAATTTCATGATACGTAATAATATTTTAAATATTTATCACATTTATATAGCTGCCCACCTCACAAACAAGTGACACAAGGTGGCCTACAACAAAACTAAACTGATACATATTTAAAGCAATTATCATTAAACGATTTCTTAAAATTTAACTATAAGAACAGAGCTAAAACAAAGAATTATTGTTCTTTATTGTCTTCAAAGATGAAGGGATGTTAATAATAATGGAGCCACATCATTAATTTTCCCATCCACTGGGTACCTCAGGCCTGCTGGAATAACCAGGTCTTGAGGGATTTTTGGAAGCTCAGAAGAGATGAAGCCATTCCCACTTCAGGGTGAGAAGAATCCATGATGCTGGTACCACATCAGAGATGGCCCATTGCTAGGACCTGCCAGATGTAACTCTCTAGATCAGGGTTGCCAACCTTTTAAACCTCAGGGACCACAAAACTCATAATTTTAAATCCTGTGGAACACTAATATGAATTTTGACTGACAGTGGCTTGCTGACGTTGGTGGGAAAGTCGGTCCCATATTCCACAGCTGCAGTAGTCATAGGACTGGCCCTTTGGTCATCCCGGAGCAACTCCTGCAGTCCATGGCAGGCCACTGTACCCGGTGGAGGAGCAACTGCTCCGGGATGACCAAAGGGCCAGTCCTGTGACTACTGCAGCTCTGGAATATGGGACCAACTTTCCCACCAATGTCAGCAAGCCACCCCAGGGCAGATTTCCCTGACCCGCCATTGGTCTTACCTTCCAGTTCCTGCTCACATGGCTCTACTCAAGGTAAGGTTTTTGCTCAGCTGAAGGGTGGGGGCCAGTGGGTGGGTCGACCATGTGGGTGGCATAGCCTTGTGTTTCTGTGCAGCCTGGATCAATTGTTTTGAGGGGTGCTTTGGGGATGACATTTCTCTGCAGACCACCAAAATTTTCTCGCAGACCACCAGTGGTCCCTGACCCACCAGTTGGTGACCACTGCTCTAGATGATACAACTAGTAGCATGCCCACATTGTTGGTTCTGGTGGGATGAGCAGATGAAGGAAAGGCAGCCCCTCAAATAACCTAGTCCTATACTTTAAAGATCAACACCAACATCTTGAATTAGATACAGAAAAAAACTTACAACCAAAGTAGTTCTCGCAGCAGAGGTGTAACATGTTTTCTGCCAGAAAAACACATAAGTACTCACACCACTGCATTTGCACCAGCTGAATTTTCTAAACACCCTAGTAATACTTTTAAAGGGTTCTTTTTAATTAAAATCTGTACCAAAATGTCAGAGGTAAGTTTAAAAAGGCACCAGTGGAATTCCAGTAGATTACTAGCAAATACCAATATTCTTTTTATGATTCTGTACAGTATTTAAATGAAGCATTTTTAAAAATGCATTAGCATGAATGAAATACCTTTCTTAAGTAGCCCTGGTTTTTCAAAGTTCCTCCAGCTGTTCTGAATGAACAGTTGGAGTTCATTGTTTATAATTTAAATACTGTATTTTTAATATTGCTGCTCAATTCATTTTCAGTCAATCAACAGCAACCAGCAGATTAAGGACACTGTAAGAAATGTATTAGATGATCAAATGCAAAGCCTTGTTGAAAAGAGTTGGAAGCACCAGTTGACACACAGGAAAATTGTGCACAACATACTATTTAGATATCCATTCCACAAGCAGCAACTCGGATAGTGCGGATAGTGTGGAAACAATTTTCCATCAGTCATTTAAGGTAAAATCAGGCATCCTGTTGAAGAAAGAGTGTTTTCACTAGTTTCCAAATCTTCTCATTCCATGGGATGCCCGTAGAAACAGATGAAGACTAGGATGGCATAAATAATTTAATCCCATAATTGGCAATGGGAGGGAAGAAGAAAACTCTCCCTCATTTCTTGTCTTGGCCAGTAGCTCTCTTCTACCCCTTTCCACAGTTGCAATTTTTGTTCCTATCTCTGGCTGATCTTTATTTATGTTTTATTTAGGCCATTTATAAGCAATTTTACACATGGCACATATAGCTCAGGCAGCATACAGTGCATAATAATATTTTGAGGACAGGATTAAACAAATTACTCTTTCTACATTAATCATCAGATATTCACTTACTCCAAAATCTTATGCTCAGGTCAGGACATACTAGGCAAAATTCCAACAGTCTTCTGCTTTGCTTCCAAGATGCTATGAGCCACTATTTCAGTTCCTTGGCAACAAGCTGAAGGTTTTTTCTTCCTTTTTTAAAAAAGTAACTCTGCTGCTGGTTTCGGGCAAGACAAAAGATATTATTATGCCCTGAGGCACGCTAAGTAACTTTTGGAGCATCCTGTCCTATAACACCCCCCAAATGTCCCTTTTGCTTCCCCATCATTGTGGACCAACTAAATAGCACCCATACTGCTAAAGCACAGTGCAACCTCATGTTCATTTAAACTGCTGCAGCATTTTGCATTGATAATGATAAACATTTTTTATTCTTCTTTCATAAAGCTTTTTGGAGCTAAACTCAGCATGGCTGAGAAGCAATGACTTCACACTGAAAATTGCAATTGCAAATAAAAATTGGAACAGCACTTTTGAGACATTCCTCAAATTATTTTCTCATCGGAAGAAGGAAAATGGGAGGCATGCTGCATACTAATTGACTACAATGGAGGGAAAACAGCCACAGTCCACTTAGATTAATTTCTAAAATTACTCTAAGCATTTTCCTTTATACCCAATTATTTCCTCTGGGATAAACAAACTGAAATAGCTCAATACACCTTCTGTGCAAACATTCATACAAAAGCAGGTCATTCCATCTGTAGAGATGTTGTTGGTTTAGAATGTTTGTTTTATGACAAGTACTTTAACACAGATAGTTAACAATCTGTCAATACAGGTAGTCCTCGATTTACAATAGTTCATTTAGTGACCGTTCAAATTTACAATGGCACTGAATAAAGTGACTTATGACCATTTTTCACACTTACAACCTCCATGCTCATGTGATCGAAATTCAGATGTTTGGCAACTGGTTCATATTTATGACCATTGGTGTGTTCCACGGTCATGTGACCACCTTTTGCAACCTTTTGACAAGCAAAATCGATGGGGGAGCCAGATTCACTTAACAACCGTGTTACTAGTTTATCAACTGCAATGATTCACAACTGTGGCAAGACAGGTTGTAAAATGGAGTGAAGCTCACTTAATAAATGTCTCACTTAACAACAGAAATGTTGGGCTTAATTGTGGTGTGTAGGTTGAGAACTACCTGTATTGTAGGGAGGAGAGACAGAGCCGAGGGCCAGAGTCAAGAGAGCAATCAGCCTGAAGTCATTATGTTCTCCTAAGTCAGGGCTGTCAAACTCAAGGCCCACAGGCTGGATCCGGCCCACAGGGTGCTTAGATCTGGCTTGTGGGGCTGCCCTGGAAGGAGCGAAGGACCGCCCCACAGTGCCTCTGCCAGCAAAAATGGAGCTTGGGAAGGCTTGCAAGAAGCTGGCACACCTGAAAACAGAGCTCAGGAGCCCATTTTCGCTGGCAGAGCACTTGAGCCACCACAGGCGCCCCGCCCGACATGAATGACACCAAGCTGGCCACACCCACCTTGGCCACACTCACCCTGGCCCCCCTGGGGTTAAACACAACGCTGACGAGGCCCTCAATGAAATTGAGTTTGAACCCCCTGCCCTAAGAAGTTCAAGTCCAGTCTCCGTTGAGTTCTGTTAACTCTTATCTAGTACTAATTTAGTGCTGACTAGATTCTTGATGTATAGACATGAGCAATAAATTAACTTAACTGGAACTGAATTTGTGGTCCTGATTCTTGCACCTTATTATTTAATAAACTGTTAGACAAGGTTAAGGCTGAAATTCAGAAAGCGAAGAGCCTGGAGAACTCTAGCTCCATTGACAAATAGTATATTAGATCTGAAATTTGGAATATATCATAGATTGGCAGGCCTAGGCCTGAGTTGATTGCTTTCCATGTTCTTTCTAAATATTCAATTATACAGGCATGATTGCTTTTATCTGGGGCTTATATGAATTGATTGAGGTAATAGACAGTTCATTATTTATAGGTCAGAATTCATACTAAGAGCAGTGTGAGTGGGACAATGACTTTTAGATCAAATCTGGGATTATGACACATAGTAAGATGTGAAAGCACCAGGCTGCTATCCTAAAATATGCTTCACTTTCACTAGTCTAACATTTCATCTTCAGAAATTTAAAAGTAGTAGGAATTCAAACAATAAGGATGATATAAAATAGGCTTTTATGATTCAGCTATGATGATTTTTTAAAATCTATGCAGGCCATCACAAGCCTTTGCATTTTGGGTTGGGCTAGGGGTTGGACTAGAAGATCTCCAAAGTCCTTTCCGGCTCTGTTATTCTGATTTGTTAGCAACTAATTAGCATCTGTGATTCTATTTCTTCCTCCTCTATAATTAGGACAGCCAATGATAACTTTGCTGACTTCCATGTATATTTTGAAGCCTTAACTTTTGAACCTATACAAAAGCAAAGTTCAGGCAAATGCCTTTCCCACCTAGTTTAGCCCTGGGTCCCTTTCAAAGCAGGACAAATTTAAAAAACAACTATGTTGCATTATTAATGTTGTTTAGCTAAAATAATGCTTTCAAAAACCAGCTTGTGAGAACTGTTAAGAACCTACTTAGTGGCTTAAGATGTCTTCAAAATAAAATTGTTTTTTACCAGCTGAATTTTAGTTCATATCTCAAACAATACGGGATTGTTTTATTCCAGATAGGACCTCAAATACAGTTCTTTGACAGACATTTAGTGTAAAGTGTAGTAACAAGAAATAGGAAGGAAATCTGTAGTGATATCTGAGATGAAGCAAGGAAGTGCAGGTAAGCCAGAAATGCATTGAGATTCCTGCAATAAAAAATAGATTCACAAGCCAATCTTTCATTATTGACATCTTTTAAAGCAAGTGCAGAGTCACACCTATATTTGCTATTGTTCTTATAGTTACATAACATTCCGAATATAGCTCGGCCTTCTGATTATATATTTAAGTTGAGAAAAGGAGCATGTTACTTAACAAGCTCAGTGTTCATTTCCTGTTCTCTAGAACTCATTATTAAGTATCATCAGCTAGACAGAAGTAGCTCATAGTTTAAGTAATATTAATACAGTAGTCACAACAGCAGCACTACGTTTTCCATTAAGGTGCAAAAACTGAGCTCCAGAACTGAATGAGCTTTGATACATTCTCCACAACAATCTGGAAAAATTGCTACTAGGTTTCAATATGAACATAATGAAAATAAATGAACAGCAGAATAACCAGTTTATCTTAAATAAGTTGACTTATAAATTAGGCTTAATGAAAGGTAGCATTTATCCTGGCCTTAGACATATTGTCTAACCTTGTCCATTCTAAAAAGTGCAGCTTTTGGACTGCCATTCAGAAGCCAGATGAATGTGTGCCCCTCTGCTTTATAAATTGCACTTTCAACAATGGAAAGACATCAGTTCCAAAGACCCAAAGTTGCACTTTCATATTTTTGACATCAACATATAGTACAGGAAGCCTGGGGAAAGTGAGGACAGGCTTAGCATAGTAATGATGGCAAAATAAAAATGGCTATTTTGTTTTTGATATCTTTAAATTAATTTCTATGGTATGGGAAAAATTAAGCTTGAACCTTCAGGATTTTATGAATGTCTCCAAGTAATTTCTTGGTGGCAATATTTTTTCCATTACTTACTTTTAGGATATTTCCTGGAAGTCCTACCCAAGAACTAATGAGGTCAGATTATGAGGAGCTTCTCAGATGAGTCAAGATTAACTAAAGCACTATTCTTATCATCCCAATTTGATGCCTCCCAAATTTATTTTAGGCTTCCTAGGTTTGGGGTTTTCTCCTAGATTTTTAGTGAATTTTTGTCAGTTAATGTGGTGCATTAAAATGAATGGCTTTTTCCAATCTGTTGCACAATGTTCTCCAGTACATAAAATTTATATTGGCTCGAGACTCATGATTTAATTGTGGTAACTGCTAGAATCCTGATACTTCATCTACTTTTCCCCCAAGTTCTTTTATAAACCTTTCTTTGTAGTGCTAATATAAAAAGATAGCATAGCAATAGATTGCTAGATTATTTATACAGAAGTATAAATCAATTGGACTTTCTGATATTCCAAAAATACAGCAGTGAAAGATACACGGAAGTTTCAAATCATATAAAAAACTCTTCCTCATCTTTCTCATTCCCATCACTTGCTCCTGAAGTGCTCAGCTGAAAATGACTAAATCCTGATCTTTTATTAATTTCAGCAACATGGGAAGACAATAGAGAGTTCCTGTCCTCAGAACCCAAACCTGCTCCCATAAATGAACTTGGTGCCTGGGACTGAAGAAGTTCTTTTTGTAAGTCCTTAGAAAATCTGTCTAGAGTAGAGTTAGCACATTTAAAAGGTGATACTCTCTTGCCTGTGTCAACATTAGTCTCTTCCTCCTCCTCTGCTTTGTTCTGGAATAGCCAGAGTTCATGGCTGGAATGTCTCAATTTAGTGCCCAGGTTCATTGGGGAAGGGCCTAGATCTTGCAAAGAAGAATGCGCTATATTATACAAACTAGAGGAAGAATTAAAGCTGCTTTGTGAAGGGCTAAAAAGACTTGCAGGATTTTGAACCATCCTCCTTGAAGATTTGTTTTTATTTTTCATGGCTCGTAGTGTCCGGTTTTTCTGCTGAACAGTAGTTCTGGAAGTCACGGAAGGTACACTGGAGCATAAATCACAGTAGTAATGGGGAGATCCTTTCTTATCAGTGCTGTCACTCCAATTAGGGGGTAGAGATTGAATTCCTTTGTGCTTTGAGACTCTGCTCTGAACCTGTGGACAAGAAAATAAATTAACTGCATCTTGACAATAGTAATAAAGTCAAATCTACACCTGATCCTATAAAACTGTCAATCACAAATCAGTAATTAAAGAGTTCTACTAAGGACCTAGGTAAGAAAAACACATACCTAGCCTTGAATGGAAGTATTAAACTTATTTGTACCTGTCAACATGATCCTCACATTTTAGTGTGTTTTCTGGCTATTCTTCAATAAAAACTAAGAGATATTTAATATATTTTAATTTTAAATAGGAGATGGCATGACAGGTACAAATGGGCAGCTAATAAGGGCCCACAGCCCAGCAGCTGACTGAAGGCTCTTATGAAGCTGTGGGTCCTTTTCCTCCATCGCAACCTGCTGATGCCTTGTGACTAATATCAGGAAATAAGAGTTGGAGTGGGTGGAGAGGCAGAGGAAGTGGAACAGTAATGGGAATAATTAAGCAAACAAACACTGAATAGATGCATCATCACCTGTACCAAACGTCAAATAAACAAATATCTGAAGAACATTTTCTGTGAAAACAGCAGTATCAGTTATTGTATCCATGCTAAGGACCAGCGGTTGTCAACTGTTGGGCCGCGAGAAAATTTTGGTGGGTGGCAGAGAAATCTCACCCAAGAGCAGGCCCCCAAAGCAATTAATCCAGGCTGCACAGAAACACAAGGCTATGCCACCCACATGGCCTGCAGAACTCTCCCCGTCCACTCACTCCTTACCTGGCAAATTTGCCTGCTAAATTGCTAATTTTCCTTTTTCCAACCATCAGCTGTTCTGCTGTGCTGGGAGATTTAGATTAGCTACAAAGCAGGAAATGGTTGGATTTCTTGCTTTCTAGCTAATCTTTAGATCTTCGGCTCTGCTTTTAAGCACAGCCGAACCTCCCTTAGGACTGAAGGTTCTATTATTCAGTCCAGACTCGTGGCAAGCAAATTTTATGTGACAGAGTCAGGTAGCCGATGACAGATAGATAGATCACTGAATGAATCTGTGATTCTGTGAACAACTCAATCTGCCTGCCTGCTTTGCCTGATTTTGGGTAAAAGTTGCTCTTTTTTTTAAATAAAAAAATCAATATTTACATACATGATGTGTTGCAAGTTAATTTTGTGAGTTTGCTTGCAAGCAAATTTTATGTGACAGACTGAGCTAGCCGATGGCAGATAGATAGATCACTGAATGATTCTGTGAGCAACTCAATCTGCCTGCCTGCTTTGCCTGATTTTGGGTAAACATTGCTCTTTTTTAATAAAAAATTCAATATTTATATAAATATAATATTTACATACAAGCCATGGCCAGCCAGTCACATGACCACCAAGCCACACCCACAAATTAGGCCATGCCCATAGAACCAATTAGTGGTCCCTGGGATTTAAAATTATGAGTTTGGTGGTCCCTGAGGTCCAAAAGGTTGGTGACCCCTGCTAAGGACAATACAAAAGTTATACCATCGTGTCTTTTGGTATCTATTGAAGTGACAACAAGTACCTGCAGCAGGATCTTATTTCCTTCATAGTCTTCTGTTTGCCACCTAGTATTGCTTATTGGGACACAGGGATTGGGCAAAAGTGGAACCAGTTCTCCAATTTCATACACTTTGAACTGTAATACTGAAGATTCCTTCAGGTCAACACTCATCCCCAAAGGCAGCTGCTTCAAGCAGAGCTGAACCACAAGGCTCTGTGTTGTGTACAGTAGAAAAGCACAGAAGCCGCTTTTCTGGACAGATGCTTCTTTCTGCAGGATTGTTTCGTAAAGCCTTACTGCATCCTCATAATTATCAAAGCTACAGTAGAGAGTGACACGCAGAATTTCCATGCCGTAGTGAACTTGTCTCAAGCCCCATACTGGCATATGTTCATCCAGTCCATAGAAGTCCTGATGATCAAGGTGGGCATGGTAGGATAGCTTCCTGCTGGGACACTCGATGTGAACAGGCTGCCAAGGTGGATGTTGGAAGAAGTCATGAACCTGGAAAAAACGTTCTTCTCCAAAGTCCTCATGCAAAAAAAGGAGAACAGAAGTACTAGGAAACCTGGAACTCTTTTGGTGGTATGTCTCATAATACTTAATTGGAGAAGGGCGTTCTGAGACAAGAAAGAGGCGAATGTCCAGGGAGATCCATTCTTGAAGTTCATCAAGAGCTTGTTGCAAGTGTATTGCATGTCCAGTGTTGGCAAGCAGGTGCACAGCCATCCTCATGGAATCTCCTCTCACATCCATTGCACTTTGACCTTCAAATACAAGTAGCAACATAATCAGTGCTTTATTGATTACAGCATCGTATTTGTACAATAGCCATGTTAAAAAGAATAAAACTCACTCTTCCCAGCTAATTCTCATTTGAGCACATTTCTCATTTGAGCACTAATTCTCATTCGAGACATTTGTAAGCTTTACAAATGTCTGTACTATGCAGACTCAGTTTCATTTTGATTTAATATTTATATTTTAGATATAAAGTTCAAGTAGCAGAAAAAAGGAATATACAATAAGGTTTCCTATCTTTTAAATCAATCAAGAGTTAATATACTATAAATCTTCAATGATTTCAAATGCCCTGCATCCTTCTTCAAATTTTTTCAGGATATACAGTATATATCTTTCTCTCTTTCTGGAAAAAAGTTGGGGTAAATTATCAGAGTTTTAGGGATTGTAAAAAGATGACTCTGCCTATATTATATAGGGTAAATGATCAAGTGAAATCTTGTCCGTTTCAGAAAAGTAATCAACTTGCCTGGATTCTGCCATCATCTTATGTAAATATAAGGTGATGTTTGCATTTTAAGGGCTCAGATTTTGCCCCCCTCCATCTGTGTGTGCATGCCCAGTTTACAAAGGCAGCAATCTTCCTGTGACAACACCCTTCCTGGGCTTGTGCTGATAAACTATTCTTTTTTAAAAAAAGAAAGGAAATTGAACAATTGCAGAGAGTCAAAGTGAATACCAAAGATAACAGGAAGAATGTCAGTCAGGAAAGACAAGACGTGAAGGAAACAGATTCTAAATGCCAACTTGACTAACTGCTGCTCCTTACAATGCCAATTGGCTCTTTTCCAATAATTCCACAGGCTCATTTTATCATACTAAGAGTTGAACATTTCTGCCTTCTTTAGAGGTTTGTGACCTAGTTATCAGTTCATGGATTTGGGATCAACCTTGAAAAAGCAAAACACTCTGATATATTTCAGAACATATAGCTGCTTTAGAGCAACTGAAACAAAACAAAACACACACACACAAACACATACATTCAGTGGCACATAAAACCAGTGGTTTAAATACTTGTTAAACCAACTTTTTCAGCAATATAGATGTGCTATATTATGATTGCTGGATCTTAAGCAAACAGTGGAAAGTTTTGTTTTTGACTTATTTCATCTTTTCTCCACTATGTTACAGGGTAAGTAAGTTGGTCCTGTTAGACGTACAAACTGTTATCTTTAAAAAATGAACTGAGGACAATACTCTGTGTTAAATTAATGAATTAAAAATAACAATGTATGAGATATTTGGGGTCTCTCAAAAATTCTGTGTGTCCTGCAGTAATTTCACTGTGGCTTTTCTCTCAAAAGATTATATTCCTCACTTGTAAAGTAAATAGAGTAAAGGGGATATACATCAATATTATCTCTTCTCAAAATTAAAATTGTAATTTTATATGCTGTATTTTGTCTTACTAAAACAAGAATCATCAGTAGCATAGATCCAAAATTTTTAGAAGCAAATACATTATCTTACTATAGCAAATTCGCTTTCTAAATTGTAAAGGACATACTAAGAGCTGTTTTGCTCATAATTCTGATTTGATAACCTATATTTTTACAATGTATTTTCCAGACCAGTCTGGAGAGCTTTAAAATAAAAAAATGTGGGCTGGAAAAAAATCATGCTATATAACAATTATTCTATTACCCTTAATTATCACCTGCTCTGTTTTCTTGAACAACTTTCTCATGTGGGTGTATGCTAATGCTCCATCTAACTGAAAACTATAATTTCCCCATGAATGTATATTGCATGGATTTTCCTTTATTTTACTAGCAACTAATCAGGTTCATGAATGTTATTTCAAAATTTAATTTTTCTAATGCTTCATATACCCCCGCCCAACCCCCAGGGAATGATAAAAATAGTAGTCTACTTGTTTTTAAGGAGAATACCCCAAGTGGGGAGAAGCTAATGTGACTTTCAGTGGGTTATTTTTTTCACTTGCCACAATTTATATTGCCAGGAAGTTCTTGAAAGCTTTAAATATCCTTTGTGTGTTTTTCACTATTCAATTCTATTTAGAGGAAAGTATATACATAAAACAGTATAAATTACTTCAACTTCTTACATTATTTACACCTGTTGTCTTTGCCATCAAATTTCTTTGTGGCTTCAAAAAACATCTTGTTTAAAGAACTGCAGTACTTGCATACTAACAGACAATACTCCAAGAAGTGAAATACGAGACACCAAAAGGGGTACTTTTTTGTAAATCAGATTTTAAAATATTTTAAAAAGAAATATTTGAGCAGTACTATTTAAATTCAGTCTTTTGTTCATGCTCTTCTTTATTATCTTATTTGTGCAAAAACTGAAACAGTTGGAATGTTCTCTTCCCTTTTACTCAATATGCAATAACATTGCTGCAATCTAGTAGTTTATGCAAAATAGCTTAATTGGATATTTTGAAATCTTGGCATTTCAAATTAGAATTAAATGTTTCATTAAAATTCATCTTAGTTCAAATCCTGTAATATCTTCAGCAGTCAATAAGCGTATCAATCTAAGAAGAGATATGCACAGTACCAATTCTACTAAAATATGATGAGCAGTCAGGGAATTGTTAAAATCACAGCTGACCAACATACAGCTTATGTATTTTAAAGTCAACCAGGAAACTGTGAAAAAGATCAGGAATAGTTTTCCCAAAGACTTTTTAAAGAAGGGCATAATCTCTATAGTTTTGCTTTCAAAGTGTTATTTCTGCCACAGAACTTTAAATTCAATATCCTACTCACTTCAGAAATACAAATTCAGAGCAAGAAACAGTTGATAGCTAAAATGCAAATTATCTACAATGTATAATAATGAAAATCAAGGAGCACAGTAAAAAGAATGAGACTACAATTATATATCAAGATTAAATAATAACAGGTATTGCAACTAGTCTCAGAATTGATAATGAATATATTAAATTGGGAGATAGCTTTTAGGATTAACCAACCATTAACTGTACGTGATCTAGTAGTTAAAAACTACTATCTGATAACAGATTTGTAAAGTAATAATGAAGGTCTTGGAAAAATATTCAAAATCCAAAATTCTCTATACCTACAAAGATCAGAATTGTTCAGATTATCATTTTTCTTGTGAGACTACACACACACACACACACAAAAGTTGGACTTACAAAAGCAGGACAGAACAAATATCAACACATTTGAACATTGTTATTGCAGACGACTTTTAAGGATACCACAGAAAGCCATGAAAACCACCAAACAGGCCACAAAACAATGTAGTTGAGGCACAAATAACTGGACTCAAAATATAATTTGAAGACCCTTGAGAATTCTATAATGAAGAAAAAAGAAAATTAGCCATGATTAATCAAAATAGACCTGGAAGAATCTAGAATCTAGTCCAGGGGACCTTATACCATTTCAGACAGGTAGCTGTCCAATCTCTTCTTAAAAATATCCAGTAATGAAGCACCCATAACTTCTGAAGACAAGCTGTTCCACTGGTTAATTGTTCTCACCAGTGGTGGGCTGCAAATTTTTTAGCAACCAGTTCTCTGGCTGGGTAGGCGTGCCCAGTTAGCCATGTGACTAGATAGGTGACATCACTCATCACAAACAGCCCCACCTTTCAGCCACTCGCCTCAAAGGAAGAAGGTATGCAATGGTTGGGACTACTCCACCACTGCCAGGCCCTGCCTGTTATTTTGGCCTGTTTGGGGGGCATTTTCAGACCATTTTCAATGCCATTTTGGGGGCCATTTTTCATGTTTTTGGCCCAGAAAATGGCTTGAAAAACCATGCCTAACTTTGCCTAATCTTAACTATCGGTTCGCAAGAACCGGTGTGAACCGGCTGCAGCCCACTTGCACTTCTCACTGTTAGGAAGTTTCAAATTAATTAATTCCAGGCTGGAATTAATTCCAGGTTGCTTTTCTCCTTGATTAGTTTCCATACATTGTTTCTTGTTTTGCTTTGGAAAATAAGTTGACCCCCTTTTCTTTGCAGCAGCCCCTCCAATATTGGTATACTGCTATCATATCCCCACTAATCCTTTTCTAGAGAATATCCAATTCCCAAATCTGTTTTCATATGCTTTTCTCTCCCAGTATTCAATCATCTTAGAATGGCCTATTCTAACAACTATGAATGTTGTAGATCTTGCAGAGAATCTATCTCTATGGTTATTAAAAGATGACAGTAATCTAATTAGTCTTAATCCAGTTTCAATTTGAGCATATCTACTGAAGGAGGTCATAGGAAACACCTTCTTGATCCAGTGCCATAGTTGCTTTTTAGTAGTTTTTTCTTACTTTCAGCTGCCTTCTGCGTCTGCCTTCTCATATGTTAACACCATTTTTACATGATCTGAAACCGAGCAAGCAAGAATAGGTATTGATCTGTCTTTATGATTTCCCTTTAGATCTTTAAACAGTTATTTTTTTCTCAAAGTTAAAACCATTGCTGCCATCTCTCCACATAATATTTAGCCTCCAGGTCATCTTCACTGTGCTTCTCTGTATTTGTTTTCTTAAAATATCATACCCAGTCTGGAGTTTGTATGATCAATGCAAAATAAAGTAGAACTATTTATACAGCAGCACAAAATTACAACCCATCCATATTGTTTACATTTTTATTTCTATTTCCCCATTCAATTTTGCATCATATGGACATTTGATAAGCATTTACTCATATAAGTCATTAATAAAAATATTCAAGAGTAAAGGACTCAAATTTGTAGCAAAAATCAAATTGCTATTCCCAGTTTGATGAGGAGCTATTAATGCTCTTTGATTATTTTATAGTTTGTCACAGTCAACCAAATGTTTAAACTGTCTTTGGCATTTTTATTCACGTATCGAATCCTTCCCAATGACCTGGGAGAGGTAGTTGCTCTTATCTTGTTGGTGTTAAAGATATTGTTGCAGATTGTAAGTTCTTCCAAGTAAGCCTTTTGCTGTTGGCTGATGATGATTTTGTCAATGCTGGTGAGCAAAAGTGGTACTCCAGATGTTTTGTGATTGCACCCAAGACACTTCTCATTATTGGTACTATTTTGCTTCCTCTTGCAAGTCATTCTAATTCTACTTGCAGGTCTTTGTATTTTAAGATTTTCTCAGTTTTTTCTTTTCTATTCTGCTGTCTCCAGGTACTGCCATGTCAACTGTAGCTTTATTAGCTAAAAGGATAATCATAATGAATCTTGAATTGTAAACTATAGGCAGAATATCCAAATTCAGTGGAATCAGAAACATTTCTACTAAACCACAATGGAGAAGCTCCAGTGAACCAGTCAATACCTGACAACAAAGAAACAATGCAGTTCTGGGTGCAATTATGGGACAACCCAAAGAAATACAACAAGAATACAGCTTGGATAAAGGAGGTGGATAAAAATAAAAAAGGTGAAATGAAATAACATGTAATAACTGAATAACTGAAATGGTAGGAAAAAAAGGCAAAGATCAAGAATTGATCAGCACCAGGTGGAGATGAATTACATGGCTTTTTGGTTGAAATATCTGACTTGTCTAATCCATTTGTTGCCAAGCAGTTTAACAAACTACAAAGAGGTGAAATTGAAGATTGGTTAACATCTGGTAGAACCTACATGATAGTGAAGGATCCAGCAAAAGGAGTAGCACAAGTAAATACAGACCAATTATCTGCTTACCAGCAACTTTCAAATTGCTAACTGTCAAATTTGCAGGACTGTCAAATTTGCAGCCTGCGGGCTGGATGCCTCACACGCTGGCCACGCCCATGCCTGGTTTAGTGAAGGGGAAGTCACAATATGTCAGGTTTGACACCCCTGGTGTAGCTGATACAGTTCAACAGCACCTTGCTGAAAACCAGAAAGAAAATTGCCCTCACAACATATGAACAAATAATCAACTCCTGACAAAATGATTTTGGAAGACTGCAAGAGAAGGAAGACTCAGCTTGAATGTAGCTTGGACTGATTGCAAGAAACCATTCAACTCCCTGATACAATTGGCAATCAAATGGCTAGAAATAGGAGTCAGTAAAAACCTGACATTTAATAGGCAGAAAGTAGACTATCATTCATAGTAAAACAGCAGAATCTTAAAAGCAGAATCTTAGATATCTGTTCTGAAAACCCACTGTATTTAATGAGTTATGCTTTCAGTTAAACGTGATTATAAGAACACAACTACATTAAACAATACATTTGTCTATGTTTCTCTAACTTGGGGCAGGGATTAATTTACATTTTTTAAGAATTTCTTTGACCACAAGGTAAAAGCACCACATTTCAAATTGTTTTTCACTAAATAGTTCACTGTCTCTTTACTTCCTCTTATTTCCATGGGTGCTCATTCACATAATTGTTCCTAATAAATTGTGAATACGGAAACAAACCAAAATCAGAGTTAAATGGATGGCATTTCCCAAACACCATTAGATAAAATACAGATAATCCTCAATTTATGACAATTAAGCCCCAAATTTCTGTTGCTAAGCAAGACAGTTGAGTGAGTTGTACCCCAATTTATGATCTTTTTTCACAGTTAAGCAAATTATTCCAGTTGTTAAGTGAATCATGCAATTGTTAAGCAAATCTAGCTTTCCCCATTGACTTGGCTTGTTAGAAGCCAGCTGGGAAGGTTACAAATGGTGATCACATGACCCCAGGACAGTGGAACTGTCATAAATATATGCCAGTCGCCAAGTGCCTGAATTTTGATCACATGATTATTATAATTGTGAAAATCATATATCGCTTTTTTCAATGCCATTGTAATTTCAGTCAACAGTTGTAAACTGAGTACTACTTGTAATCATAATCATGTTTTTTTCCAGCAAAAAAGCTGGCTAGCAATTATAAAAGGTTAGTACAATAAAACTTCCATGTTTCTCATCCTTTTAAAATTATAAGCCAGTCAAATGGCCTATAAACTCTCACATTATTACTGAAATTATCTCAAATGCAAACCGTGATTTGTTTTCTTTCAAACAAACTGATTTTCAACATCTATAAATTGGAAAAGAGAAAAAAAGGGAATGTGTATAAACTGATGAAAAGAAAACAGGTATATAAGTGATTTTTCCAGGAGAGGATGATGGTTTAGACAAGCCTTTGATCTGCTCATACAATGTTGCCTTACAAATAGAAAGACTGATTACTGTAGTCCAAAGCACCGTCCTTACTGCTTCTTAAAATCATTTAAAACTTATCAACTACTTTGTTACTGTTCCTCTGCCTGGTATTCTATAAGAGCGTTGGACTCCAACTCCTATCACACCAATCCAAAATAGCTATCAGATGCGGCAGACTTGGATTTAGTAATCCAAGACGTCGGGAAGGCCGCATATCGGAGGAAAGTCGATTTACATCGTCTTTCTCCCGTGAAAACTTATTGAAAGTTGTTGGGGGTGGGAGATAAACGGGGATGCAGAAAGGACACGAACGACAAGCCTGGGCAAAACTTGGGAAAACAAAGGATGAACCGAGCGGCTACCAGGCTAACGCCACTCGCGGACACCTCTTCTCCTCGGCCGGTTCTGCCCAGCTGCAAATGAAGGGAGGGCAGTGTTACACGCCGGTCGGCGACGGGGAGAATTGAATTTTTTTCTTTTATTTTTTTAAGCGGGCGCTGATGGTGCTGCATAGGCTACCAAACAACAAGGCACCCAAGCGAACAGGGTCCTACCTTCGCCAGCAGGCCCTCGCCCACTCCACGCAGCCTCTACGGGGAAAGCATCTCGGGGCATCTTTTGAGGCTCGCTCGACGCCTCAGGCAACAAGTGAAGGGAGACGCTGCCCTCGCGTGCCCATCCGCTCTGCGGGCCCGCCTCTTCTGCGCGTCACGCAGGGCTGGTCCACGGTGGACGCTTCTTCTTTTTTTTTTTCCCCGCGAAGTCAGCCGCTGCTTGTCAAGGTAACGTCTGAGAGAGGCAAGGGGAAGGCCTTGCGCTGGACAAGGAAGGCGCTGGGACAGACCCGGAGGCCTTGGCATCTCGTGGGGGAAGTTGGGAAAGGGCAGTTGCTCGGCGCTTGGCGTTGCTTTGGCGTGCCACGCGAAGCCAGGCGTTTCGATTGGTGGTTTTAGCAGATTGAAGGTAGCCGCTCGATTGTGGTTTATTCCCCGTTTAAGCATGATGTGGGAACACAGCCCTCTGTGTTATTATAGCTTGTGAAACCACTTCTGATGAGCCACTCTCAAACAACAAGCAGGCTTTAATAAACAGCTTTTTCTGTTCCCTTTTCTCTGGTCTGACTTTCAATTTAAAGTGAAATACTAATTTGGAAAATGAACCGGTTTGATTTACACCTCTTCTCAGAACAAGCATATGACCTCCATGAAACGATAGGCTCTTTCGCTTATAAAATGTCTAAATAAAATGATTTCTACAGTCACTAAAAGGTAATTCAGCTAGGGGAAAAGTGAAAACTAAAGATGGTGAGAGTAAAGTCATGCCTGCCGTCTTAGGAACTTCTAAAGATGAAAGGTTCTGACAATTCAACACCTTTGCCTGGCTCACTGCAGGAGGCAGAGACAATGGGGGATAACACACAGCATAGCAAAACAGAAGATGGAAGCCCTATGATGAGTAGAGTCCAAATCAGGCCTGGACAACCTGCAGCCCCCAAGCAGCCTTCAGCTATTCTCCCTCATTTTGTAAAATGTCAATAAATTCACTGCTGCTGTGTTTCTAGACCTCCCCTTGCCACTCATCAGACAGTTGATACCCAGATATTCCTTTCAATCCAGAATGGTTTTTAATTTCTCAGTGTGGCTCTTTCCCCTCTACAAGTTGAATAGCCTGGTTCCAAACCAAGGATTGCATGTAGCTTTTGAATGGTATGCAAGTAATCCAATTAATGGATAGACCAACACATTTCATTTAAGACTAAGAATCTAGGAGATGTCTCACACCATGCCCAAAACTTCCAGAGGATGTATATCAATTTTGGTCTCAGATAATGTATCCTGCCTTAGAACAATCCATTTGAAGTCTAAGCCTTCTCATTTGTAAGAGCTTCATTATCGTCATATATACTGCAGAGTCTTCTCACATTTGATCGTTCACTTAGTTTTTTATCCATATAATTTTCACCTCTGTGTTTGAAATATATTTCATGAAAGTTCTATTTGTACAGTAATAGGTATTTCAGATATGGCAATCAAATGGTATTATCAAAGCTTTGAGTAACGACCCTGCACATGTAGATTTCTCCAGAAAGAATGAAGTCTCTGCTTTCAGTAGTTTTAGTTTATACTAAATACTTTATACTTATATTTAGTGCACATTTAATGTAGCATGACGCTACTTTATCAAAATGAATTATGTGCAAATTAAAGGGCCAAAAATTCCTAAAGATTTGGAATGGTAAAGATACATGTCATCATATGAAAAGTAACTTTATACCTTATTCCTAGAATTTCTGGACTTATTAAGTCATCTTTAAGTTAATGAAACTGGCTGGATTCATATTACATGAATATTGCATGTGGCTAGCTATGAGAGACAGGATACTGCGTTAATTAAATTATTGGTTTCAATCTTTCATATTCTAAATTACACCAATTTATTACTTATTTTATCCTGCCTTTATTGTGAATCTACATTCAACCAGAATAAACAAAACAAAAACAATAAACATTTTCTGAGCATGCATATTCTCACATTATTTTGTTATCAGTTATAGGCAGCTTTAAGAACATACAATATGCTCTTTGATGATTACAGCTTAAAATGAAAGCTAATTAGGACTGAAATACTAATTTCTATTATTGGATCAATTGTTTATTTAAACACAAATAATCTTTCTCATACAATCATCAATACACAAAAACAAATAATAAAAATGAAGTAGTTCAAAATAGTGTTTTATTTTGCCTCTTGAATCCAAAACTTTCAGAGTGTTTTAGATTACAGAAAATTCAATATTCAGTTTTTTACTCTTGAAATACCCTAGAATTTATTTGCTTTGTCTTCTTACAAGATCCTTGGGGGAGGAAGAGTCACATTCCACCTATATCACTTTTGCACACTAAGAGTAGTATACATACTATTGGTTGAGAAGCACTGAGGTAGAATAGACCTCTTATATTTCCTTTTATAGTGTGCTATTGATTAAAAACAATTGGAACACAGTTTGGCCTTTTAGAAATGAATCTCCCTGGTTTTATGGACAAAATACTAGATGAGAGGAAATTGTGAAAGGCACATTTTTGCCAGTTTTTATCATCACATTGTAGTCAACTCCTGCATGGAAGGATGGATGGGATGGATGGATTTTCTGATGATCTGTCCCGAACAAGGTCTTTTAGGTCTTCCAATGGTGCACTCATTGCTACTATAACTGAGTCCGTACACCTTGCGGCTGGGCATCCCCTTCTTCTCTTTCCATCTTTCATAGCATTACACCCTTCTCCGGAGAGCTTGGTATTTGAATAAATAGGATAAACAAAAGGGCCTCCAGTGAGAACTTTGGGTTGATTTGGTCAATTTTCAGTTTGTTTCTGTAACTGTCCAAGGTATTCTTAAGAGTTTTCAACATCAAAGTTCAAAAGCATTCATACTCTTCCTATTTTGCTATGTCAAAGTTCAATTTGTCCTCCTGGTCAATTCATTCTTCTCCAGATGAACTATTCAGTAAAGGATCCCTACAATATGACATGTCTGTATGGTATTGGATGAAAACAAGAACAAAACCCTTCATTTCAGTTTTCCTCTGGAGTCAATGATGATTCCCTTTATTAATGGAGGGAAGCCTTCATCTTCACAAAGCACTATGCCTATTGTAGATCCAGTGCAAGGATTTTCAATTATCATCTGTTAAGAAACAATATATACATTGTATAATTATTTCTCAAATAATTGTTTCTTACATTTATAATCATATGTTGAGTACTTTACAAAGCAAAGTTAAAAATAACTGTTCCTGTTGTCCATGGAAAAAATATTTTATTTTCAGCTGTAAAATTTTAATTATTTATTCTCCAGAAGGTGAAATTCTTGGAATTTCATAATTAAGAGACCATAGTGGTGTAATATTCTGGGAATTAATGTATCAACAAATATTAATGACATCAGTTGGCAAAAGGTACACTTGAGAATAAGATTTTTTGGTCTTTAAAAATGGTTGGGAAAACAGATTTTGTGCAAACACACCTTTATTTGTTAAAACATGTTCCCCAAGTGTTTGAATAAATTGATGAATATTAAGTTGCCGAATCAACTTGTTAAAAGTAGAAAAATACTTTTTCAGGCTTAGAAGTTTGGGGGTTAAACTAAAAATCCTAGCACCATCTCTTTTAATGAGTTGCAGTTTGTTGCTTTGACAACTATATGGCCCAAAGAAAGCACTTCTTTCAAATTATTTTTAAAACATGGAGCCACTTAAGAGAATAAATCTTCAAATCCAATGTCCCCTTCTTTAGAAACGTATTAGTGCATTAAAACTTACTTTTGTATAGAGCTGCTGTTTAAAAAGTCAATTACAATGCAGATTAAATTAAAATATATTACAGTATATTTAAAAAATTGTAAGAAATTATTTTATTGAATCTATAAATTACTGGGTTTAATTTTCCCCTTAAGAAGTTTTATAAAAATACATTTGCGTGTGTCCAAGTTAATAGAACACGTATATTTAATCAAGTTGCTGGAAGGGTTAAGGTTGGGGGAAGAGTTCAAGCAGCTAGAAAGTCTGAGAAACTCGGCCTACTGTTAGGTTAAAAATCTCGTTAGTTTTATTAATAGATAGCAAACATAGTTGTGCGTTAGAAGTGCCTAATTCAATAACTTTTAAATGATTAGCAATTTATATCAGTTTTCACCTTGTATGGCAACAGGATCTATATTGCAACAGATTCCATTAGCAAACCTGGCTGCTATGAAGATAGGCAGGATCAGATCTAGCTACTATTAGGAGGGGTAACTACTAGAAATCCCAGGCCTGAACTGAAAGCAAAAATGGATTTATGCATTCAGGAAGAAGGGAAAGGGGAAACTATTTTCATAATGTTGCCTAGAAAGCATACGGTTGCCTCCATGTGACCACCAAATTAGAACTGTTTATTTTTATATTTAGATATTCAGGATATAAGATTCTAAAACTGCCTTATATAGTTCATTTTATTGTGAAAACCTTTAGATAATTACTAGAAAACCCAGGACTTATTGGGTCATTGTTTCAAAGATCTTTCCTTACTTAAACAGAGAAACAGAATGACCACAGGAGGGCAAGGAGGAGGAGGAGGAGGAGGAGGAGGAGGAGGAGGAGGAGGAGGAG